GGGAGAGCAAACGTCCCCAGCTGAGACCTGGTGCGTCCCAGCGCATTACCAGTGCAGAACTTCTGACCTACTTCAAAAACACATACAAGAAAACACCACTGATTTTCACTGCTACCTACAGCATATGGCTGAATATCTGGAGAGACATTTGTCCTTGGAATTTTTGTAGAGAAACACAAACACGAACTTAAAATGTACTTTTTCCATACCAAAAAAAAAGAATATTTTATAATTAAATGTCAATAATAAATTCTCAAAAAAGGTAAATCAATAAACGTGTGTGTGGACCACATTTCACCTAATCAGAGGCACAATAAAATGTCCCAATTCATAGTGGGAGTTGAGGGTGTAGAACATTTGAGTGCTCTGAGAGATTTGCGAGTATTGACCCAGACACTCAAGTAGAAACCTAGAACTCGTATTTCTGGTAAAAGCAGAATTAGTTTTCCTTACCATAATTACGGCATGTGGACACTGAGGAGGACAACTGGCACTGAAGACATTGTCAGGGCAACTGCAAGTAGCCTGCAAGAAGCCTTTTAAATTAGACAAAACAGCCCCAACCACAGTCAAGCAATGACGTCCAATGCTGAACACTATTGATTGACAGGGTTTCCCCAAAGGATTTTGTGAGATTTGGGGAAGGAAAATATTAAGATGCCTTTAAAAATCGTTATAAAGCACATTTATGCTAATGTTAAGTAGACTATTTAAATGAATAAGTTGTCTATTAAATGCAAAGATTTTGAAAACAGAAGTTTACATTGTAATTGACTTATTTTACACGGTGCTCCAGGAAATAATGTTATCACAAATACAATGGTTGTATGACTGCGGATATCGCAGCAACACAAGCACACTCACAAGGCATGCTACACGGTTGGGTTGGTTACCGACATTGAGAGTCCGAAAATGATGAAGAGCGAGTTCAGTCAGTTATTGAATTAACTAAATTCACAGCCCCGGGAAGTGGGTAAGTCCAACCGAGAGGTGCTGTGCGCCGAAATGGGCCGAAGCTCCTAACTTGACTTTCAGAGCCAAATTAGAGCCGATCACTGAGCACCACGGCAAAGACTGACTGAAGAGATTCTTGGTTCATCACAAAACTGTGGTCGTACAAAATAGACTTTGGCAGGCTGCCACCAGGCAATTAATGGGAGAAAGCAATGGACGTCACTGAGGCCTGAGGCGTTCATACTGTTGTCCCATGTTAAAGCTGACAGTTAGACAGCTGATTGCAAAGAAAAAAAAAGTCCTTACCTTATGGAGAGGAAAGCTTATGTTTGTTAGCGTGAAGGCAGTCAGGACAAGTAAACAAATCAAAAGGGTTTTAACAAGCACAACCGCGGCTTGAGTGCCAAGACAACATAATGAATCTGGCATAAAAGGACCACTGGTAACTATATATACGCCCCCCCCACTTAATGCAATGATAGGAAAGAGCTGTGCAGAAGTGATGGTTAGGCATAGAGGTGGGAAAAAAAAAAACTAGACATCCACATCGTTTGCCAAAATATCGAACCCAACTTCCTCCCTAAGACTTTATAAAGTGGTATTGTGTCACAAACCTTCTGCTTCTGTTTCTGAACAGAAACATAAACACCAGTATATTCTAAATGGGCCAATTAACGAGGAGTGACTAACTGACTTCAATCTGCTTCTTGATGAAAATGAGGAAGTAATTAGAAACGCGGCAGCAAAGATCATTTAGATGTATTGTTGAAATAACAATTTACTTTAGTGTTTTCCTGTTGGAGTCGGCACAGTTTGTTCTCCCGTGATCTGCTGACAGTGCGAGCAGGCTGAAGGTAACGCCTGGGAGCTTTACGTGTGGAGAATTTGATGTCCAGTCACCTTACCTTTTGCACTGAAAATGACAAATCAACAATATCCTGGAAGCCAGTTCCCTTTAATCATGAGAAGCTTTGAGCAAAAGCCAGAAAAGTGACGCTCTCATGAACGTCAAATAAATGCTTTCTTCGCATCAGGCTCCTTTATTTCATTGATCATCTCCTTCTCTTTACCACCAGCAATTGAGCAAGTTAATACTGTATACTTCTTGCAAATGAATCTATCTCTCTTTTAGTTCTATCTCAGCCTCCCCGTGTCACTCTACCTTTTTTTCTTATTTCTTATTTTATAGACCGGGAGTTTATGCAGAGTATGTTTCCCCTCATCAGATGAAGAAATGCCTGGTTTCCTCCAGTGAGAAACGTCGATGCCATATGAGGGAATAATAGCGGACGAGGCCTCATTTTCTAAAGGAAAGCAGGGGGGAAGGGGACGGGGCTTTAAAGCAGCATTTTTGTACAGCTAGCAGGTGCATATTGAATCTTATTTGCTGATCTGGAGAGAGAGAATTGTATTAGCCAGAGGGAGAAATAGAAAGAATGAGAACCACAGACGGGAAAGAAAGACTGAGAGACGAAAAAAGCGATATTGGCAAACCCTGTTGTTCAACGGGGCTGCCCAGACCCAAACACAGAGTTGGCCAGTGATTGGTCGGTTGTGGTTATATCTTGGCATGGGGTGCAGCGACAGCTGTTTGGAAATGATGGAAGCCCCTGAGAAGGAGGACAGGAAAGAGCGGGACCACAAAAACAATCCAGAATGACTGTGAAATTGTGTTGTCCCAATCTATTGTCACTGCCCACTCACACTGTGTCAGAATGGACAGGAGACCTCAACAAATCAACAAAAGGAAGGAAAAAAAATAAGAAGATACAAATGGGAGACTCGTGTCGCTACTGCACATCACCGAAAGGAACATTTGGTAATTGGATGCCTTCAGTTTTAAGTTGTCCTCTGAGGCATATTTGCGAGTCTGTTTCATTTCACGCCTTCATCTCAGTCCGGTGGGACGGATCATAGAGACATCAAGACAGCCACCGAATGAAATTCAAGCATGCGTGCTATTAATGCACCTTACAAAAGGGAAGGGAAAAGGAAACAACAAATCAACTAATGAACAAACACAAATTAGCCTAATCATTGGTAATCATGGCATTCTGTGCCAATAAAGCTTGACATTGTAGAAGCACTAATCAATGTGGTAATTACTCTGCGGTTTCCCGCTTAATGTGAATCTGGTCACTTATCATGTGCCGTTCTTTAACCCACCAGAGATCCAGATGGCTTCTGCGCTTTTCAAAACTGCATTTGCAATAGATGCTTACAGGACGAATACAAAGTACACAGTCCAGAAGCAAAAAAACTAATCAACACATGGCTTAAAACAGGAAAATGTATTTATTTGTCAATGAGGTTTTCTACATCCCCTCCACCCCTGCACACTGTTTCTCCACAGATTGGAACTCTGGGCACATCCGGCTCTCAAATCCTTTGGCGTGTGAACAAAAAAAGCCGAGGTGACGGCAACAGCAGCACCAGACAGCAGCGGCGATTGTGGCACATGCAGCAACTGAAGAGCTTATTAAACATCTTAAAAAAAAAAAAAAAATCGACCTACTCTACTGGATAATTGCGTTACAACAAACAGGGAGCGGAGAGTGTTGCAGCGCGGACGGCGTCGACAAAGTTTTTACAGATATTCATCGCCAGGTTCATCTGTCTGAACTCCCCCGCAGGACCAACACTGTATCCTCACAGTCTGCCAGCTTATTGAGCCCCTCAGCTGTGTGTTGTTGTGAGCAGCATACGGTTCATTTTGTGGGAAATGTCAGACTGTCAGTGAGTCAGCCGTGGCAGGTGCGTGGGCTTGGCATATATTGTAAATCTCTGGTTAACAACATAATGACTTAAAGCGGCGCTCCTCCGCACGGACGGTAATGTGTTGGAAGAAAAACACGCTCCGCGCAGACAAGATTGATCTCTTTCACCCGTCTGCGTGGCTCAGGCGCGCAGGAGACGATGGACGGGGCTTGTGTTCAGTTGGCGACAATATGGCGGACGGATGCGCACATGCTCCCAACAGGCTGTCGCTGCCAACGCCACTTGGTGATGGGAAAGTATTCCCCAAAAAAGGGGCAGGCTGCAAAAAAAAACAAACAATAACACTAAAACCAAATCCCCCCCCAGATCATCACCCATCACCAACAGTGGTGGGAAGAGTCAGCCGGTAACAGACAATATGGTGATCGTGGCGCCCTGACAAGGAATTTCCATCGCTCCTGTTGGAAGTGCTGGGAGCGTATTTCTTTCCCAGCCTTCAAACGCTGGCGGGGTGATGACTAAAAAGAGGCATGTTCAAGGTCCCCCCCCCCCGCCTGCACACTCTCTCCAACTAGCACACATACATGCGCAGATGGATACACGCAGACACGTCCACAAGTGAGCCGAAGGCTGTACTCTCGTGTCTTCTGATGTTACGGGAGGGAATAGGAGGCTGGGGTGTAACGAGGGGGGGGGGGGGGGTGGGGGGGCTTAATAACGCCTTCTTCAGTTGCTGATGAGGTCTTGTGGGCAGTTTTGCTTTAAGACATGTGATCTGACTCTCTCTCTCCCTCTCTGTCTCTCTCTCTCTTTCCAGCTGGGCTACATTGTAAAACACACACACACACACACACACACGCACACACACACACGCTGGCTCTGCCTCGCTGACACAGACTCTCTACTTAGTGCGTTGGAGGAGAGGACTGAGGCTCACACTATCACAGCGCAGCTTCTCAATGGGGGGACGCAGCTGAGAGCGAGTCATTCCACGGGGCGCTTTCTCCGCGGCCGGGGAGAAGGCGCGCAACAAGAAGCGGGGGCGAATCACCCCCTTCCGATCCACAATATAATCTCCCCCGAAAGGAAAAATACCCCCGCCCTGAGGACCTGGTCGGAGTGGTGGGCAACAAATGAGCCCCTAAAACTTTGCCCCAATTGGGCCAAACCAAGCATTCCCTTGTTCCTCTACCCACCCCCCAAACCCCGGGGAATTTGGTGAACCGGCCCCCGGGGTCTTTTTTTTTGGGTGGTCTCCGTTCCCAAGGATTTTAAAAAAGACCCCGACCACGGGGGGAGGGGGGGGGGGGGGGGGGGTGTTCACAGGAGAGAATACTGAGAGGGTCGGGTGAGGAGGGCGGTGGGTCGCTCGGCCGAAGAAACCAAATAGTTTTGTGCCCCTTTTTTTTTTGCGCGCTGTTCCGCTTGTGTGGTGCTGGAATTTGAAGTGGGAACCGCTGGCTTCAGAGGATGGATGGATTTAAGACAGAGGAGTGAGTCGGCTGGGCGAGCAGGCAGTGATTCTGACTGAGCTCCTTTCCTTCTGAACAAACTGCTCAGGTAAGGGCGTGGGACTTTTGAGGAACCCCTCTTGTTTTTGGGGAGAGGATGTTTCGAGTGTGTGTGTGTGTGTGGGGGGGGGGGGGGGTCTGATTCATGAGTAAAGACTTGACCAGGAGACTTGGTGGAGAAACATCTTTTGCCGCAATACACCTTGTTGAGGTTTCAAGAGGTTGACGTGTATTTGAAACGACAAAAGACATACAGGTGCGCTGCATGTGATGGGATGGAAAAAAGTTCAGATATTAAGATGGCAACCTCGAGTAATGTTGTGACCCCCCCCCCCCGCCCCTCTGAGTGGGGGCCTCTTCCTGTAAGGCACCAGGAGACATGCGGATCCGGGAGGAAGCAATAAAGTTGCGTGTGAATTGTCAGCTTCAATAGACGAAACAGGTGTGATTTGGCACGCAGGTGCATCAGTGGGTTTGCGCCTGTACGTGTGCGTCTGCTTTGTATACTCCTCTTTACCACACGCATGTATAGAGGAGCTGTCCCCCCTTTGTTTGTTTTCACTTGACACCCCAAAGTAGAGAGTAAAGGAAACATTAGCGATATTTATATAAAAGCTCTGCCGCTCTACGGAATCTGGGCTGCAGCAGCGAATGGAGGAGTTTGGTCCTGTTATCTCTACAGTTGCTATCTTCCTCAGAAGTTGCTTTAAAATGATGCCCATGCTTGCTGGTATAAACCACATTTTATTTTCAGCAAGAATGCCCCGTTAACCAGGGGGGGGGAAGCTCAGAATGCAATATGCAGCTAACCATGCAGCCGCAACGCTGCTTATGAATATGAAGCCAAGTCGGTGAACAGAAATACTGCTTTAAAAAATTTTTTTTTTAAAAGGACAACATTCAAATGGAGGCAGTTCACATTTCCACAAAGCTTCAAAGGATTATAGTGGATTGAATGCACGGGTGGGGATTAACAATGTGCTGTTCATAATTATATGCTTAATTTTCACTGAATATTAATCAGCCTCAATGTGACTGAGGGCACAGAGAATTAGAGTCATTGGCTTAAATCTCAGATACACATCCAAACACAGAGTGGTATTGTTGGAGCGCGGCTTTGGCGCTTTGTGGAAACGACGTAGTGGATCAGGCCCGCTTTCATTGCTCAGACGTTTGAAACACATCTCGCTATTCAGACTCCTTATTGAAAAGGGAAATTTCCATGGGTTGAAGTTCATTTTGAAAGAGACTCCCCGGGGCTCAGAGTCTGCTTCATATTCTCCTGTGAATTCAGATATGGCGGAATCAAGCGTTAACAAAGGCAGTGTTAGATTCAAACTGTCACATTACACCATCTGATTCATCCACAGAGTCACCACCTCAATGAAAAATGACAAATACAGCCAGTGCCTGTGATATCTCGGCGATACAGCGAGTGACTCGGGTGAAATATAGTCTTATTAGTCCAAAAGCGACCGAGTTTGATCAGTCCTGGGATTACTCAACGCGCCAATTCACGTGTCGGTTTCCAGGAGGTGTGGGGTGATTGTTTTAGGTTCCCCGTCACGGGGGGGCCCGAACGACAACGAGTGCTAATCACACCTGGAAAGGAGGAGCGCCTCGTTATTCAATGAGGGCGGAGGCGTGTCTCCATACGCCGGCCCTCAGCAGCCATTAGGCAGGCGCTGAATACATCTACTGATTGTTTGTGCTTGGAAGTGCAGTCTTGTATGAACCTTAAAGATTATTAAAGCTGTAATGTTGCCGCCTCTATTGTTTTTGTTTCTTTTAGTGTCAATTTAAATGTTAAGTAATGTAGATCATGAAGCAATTATTACAGTGTGAAAAAAGGCTCTCTTCCTTGTTGTGCATTTCATTATTTATTCACACTGATATTGACAAGATTGACTTTTACGTTCAAGGTTTTACTTTTTTATTGAATCCTCTGTCTTCTTTTTCTTTTTATTCTTTGTCTAATATTAACAAAAATGGCTAAGCACAAATTTACCACTGTGTAAACATTTGCAGGTTCTACCAGAAGATATAATCGCCTACTATTTGTGTCTTTTCTTTGGCAAATTAAACTAAATGCAATGTGTGTGTGTGTGTGTGGGCGTGTGTTTGTGCAGGCTGTAAATGTGTTTGCGTGGAGACACGCTGTAATAACGTATTGTCCTATTTGTTTTCTCTCCGTCTGTGTGCCGTCCCGCAGACTCGTCCCTCACCATGTCCTGGTTGTTGGCCATTTGGATTAGCCTCGGCTTCCTGCTGCTGTGCCAGGCCACGCTCTACCAGACCGTCCAGCAGCACCATGTGGCTCGGCCCGGTCGCACCGACATCCTCACCCTGGGTACGTGCACCTCTTTGGGCTCCGCGGCGCAGCGAGAGGCGCTGTCCGGCCGATGGGACGGTGTTTCTCAGCTCTTTTTGTTTAAAAGCAAGAAACCGCTTACGTTGCCGTATCATGAGGATCCAGCCCTCCATGATCCACCACTAATTGTGCTTCTAATTTTATGTTGGATAGGTATATTCAGTCCCGCTGTACCGATCAACTTGTGCTATTTAAGGAAACATCTATAGACCGTCAGACCTCTTTGCTTGTATCTGAACGTAGAAACCCTCAAAGACAAAGAGCATCTTCAGTCATAGTGAGTTTACCGGTGGGGAGATGACTTCATATATGCAGCGGGGAATTATCCCCGGAATTATCGACTTGCTGGCAGAATGTTACGAGTAGGACCGGCTGAAAAAAGACAAGACGGCTTTGATCACTGTGGTTTGCAGAGAAATGACAATTACGTTTCCTTCTTTTTACGCTACGAACGTTTGGCAATTAAGCCCGGCGCCTTCTGCACCGCGGGGGCAAAAGGGGAGGGTACACGCCAAGGCGAATCTAATTCTCTGATTATGAAAAGCTTACCAGCATTGCTTATGGTGTATGCTGGAGTGTTAAGGGGAAGGCAAAGGTTTTCTTGAGCAAAGCAGAGGCTTTCTTTAAGCTTCTAACAATGAGTGTGACTCCCAAGCTGAACCGCCGTTCAGAGAGGGGATCTCTCCAGAAGCCAAGCGGCTGTTAAACATTGATGCTATCTTCTGCTTGCATCCTTTTTGTCTGTGTGTGTGTGTGTGTGTGTGTCGCATTTCCAAGAAAAAGAGATCAGCGTTGAAATCACGATCCCAGTGTTGAACATCGGTGACTTTAAGCAGCATGGCGGAGAACTGGCTTACTTTTGTTTCGGATTAGCTGACACTGTAAAAATCCCAACTATGATAGAGAGAAAGTTCTCAAAGTGTCCCACTCCCATTAATTGGAACAAGAGGGTGAGGGATGAGCGACAGAGGGCTCCCGATGAATTTTTTACGGCATGCTTCCACTTTTTCTGTTGTTTTTTTTCTCCCTTTCTGACTGGTTGGCAAGTCGAGCTTGGTGCCAAAGATGTACAAGGAAGTGAAAAGCTCAGTAAGTGTCTTTTGAATAATGCAGAGTTCCCAAGGGGAGTGAGAGGGGGTTGAATACAAGACCCACCAACCCCGACGCGAATATGGAAGAGTCATCCAGGCAAAAGATAGTTATGGTTGAGTCTTCTCTGGAAGGTGTCTTGTCAGACAAATCAACCCCCACGCGCTCACACATTTACACACCGTTTTACCGTCTGAGGCCGTAATGGTTTGTGGTTTTAATCGGCCCTCTGGGGATACTGGAGCTGTGCTCAGGACACATCCCGTCCGGGACGATGCAGGCTGCACGCGCGCAGATGGTTGATAAACACGCATTGCTTGATTTGATCTTTCAAAGTATCAGATTTCCTTTTTATGTTGTTAGACAACTATAGCGTATAGCTAGATGTAATCAAAAGAGAGATTTAATGCCAGCATGCCAGCATCGGAGCTAAAGGGCCTCTCACATAGGCGCGCTGAACCCCATTGGCGGGCGCAGCGGAAATTACAGAGTGCTGCAATGATTAGATTGAACTTGGGACCCACACTTTGCTCGCCACAACGAGATGGCGGCGCAAACCCCTGGAAATGATGGTTTTCTGTGCGCAGCGGCACCGTTACCGCTCTCCGCGTGAAAAACAGATGGTCTTTTAAAGTGTTATCATAACACAAGCTCTCGCCAAAAACTTTTAAAATCAGACAACCCGTGATGGATGACAGCCATAATTGGCGCTGGCAAAGGAAGTCGGAGGCTATTTTAACATATTTACTATCTTAATCAGCAGGCTTCCCAGGGTCCGTCACATGCGGGTGCTCGAAGGGAGAGCGGACTGTGTTTTTTTTTTTTTTTTTTTCTCTGCTGCTCAGTAACTGTACAATTCACAGCACATCATGTTTTTTTAAGAGGATTAAGTTGACATCAATCTTACTCAGCCGTGGAGTGGCGTTAACCGATCTAACCAGAACTGCTCTCTCAGAATTGAAATGCTATGATGAATATTTGAATTCGAATTGATTTTATCATTTGAGAAGCTCTCTGGTTTCATTGAGGCCAGAACCCTCCGATATAAATAGATATGGCTATGTAGGACGTTATGGGAAAAAAACAGAAAGCTCGGCTTTCATGCTTTGCTGTTTTTTGGTAATCAAATATCGTTTCTCTGTTTCTTAAGGATGATGAAGACATGTGTAATGTATTCTTTGTCATTGCAGAATATTAAGTTGAAAAATGTTTTTGTTAATGAAGCACGAGAAATACAAGATTCCAAATCTTTGTGTAGATGAAAAGATTAGTAGAACTCATTTTTTTCTTGCCATTCGTTAGCTAAGATTATTGATTCATTATCTTTTATTGATTGATTACAAAACAGACAAAGCTGCTTTTGTGCTTTGCAACTGATCCGAGTCATGTTGAGTTAGTCACACGCGTCATTCTCCAGCCTGTCGAACCATTTAAAAAGATGTTTGAGAAATCTGCTCAAATCTGCCTTCGGCAACAGTGAACCGACGGTGCGAAAATAAAAAAGAGACTGCTGAGGTGAAGTTTCCGACCGCATTTATTTTTTGCAAACGTTCCTTTGACAAATCGGCACGGCCACAGCCGGGGCGGAGATTGAGTAACGAGTTGCCTGACTGCTTTGTCACCTGCTCAGGAAGCCGGGGCCGCTCTCCTTCCCATGAGCCTCTGCTCCGCACATCCTCCCCTGTGTCCCGCTAGTGCGGCCGAAGATTGATGGCGGCCTGATTCTGGCCAGCCGATTCTGGTCTCTCAAGAAATAATCCACTACATTGACAGATGAGCGGAATGCAACATGACACGCACACACACACACACACACACACACAATATACCAGTTCTGCACTCTCTCCACCTGCCATCACAGGGGGCAAGGCTGCTGCTGCACAAACCCGCCACAGTGGACACCACATTGTGTTGGACTCTATCACCAGGCAGTGAAAGCGTAACGGAGTTACATTACGTCAAAGCGCTCCGTAATGTGTTGTTTACGCAGTAAAGTCCACGGCTGTCACACTCAGCAGGTACTGCATTGTCTCCTTTTGGTGAGATGCATACAGTAGCCATGTTCATAATGTGTCAATACTCACAGGCGCAGTCTGAATAAAGCAAGACTGTAGTTCATTAAGACTCAGTTTTCAGTTTTAACACATAATGCCTGTTACGCTTCAATAGCAGCCATTTTTTTTCATACCTTGTTTAGTCAGCCATGATGACAGGGCAGTACATGGGTGCTCTACAATCACAGAACTGTACTTCACATGCATATTGTGATAAATATTCACTCTTATTTTTGAGAAATAGCATCATCAAATAAACAAAGTCTGAAATGAAATTATCCAACTCACAGTGGCATCTGGTGTTTTCTTGCTGGAAGGAGAGTCATGGAAAACGCTTCGAACAAAAGTTGTATTTTTCAGCCACTGATTTAAAATGACTGGTATGAAATAATCCCAGATGATTTGAAGGCATTTTAATGAGTTCACTGTTCAATGCGACATAATGCTCCCTCGGTGTAAAAAAATAATAAATCCGCCGAGGTGGAAGAAAACTTTTTTGCTTTGTAATTGCTTTGATTAGCTGAGATCTTTCATATTGTGAAACAAGAGCTCATCAGAAGAATGTGCTCGGTAAAAAAATCAAACAACCTGTTGAAAGACTGTAATCCTCAATCTCAGTTTTATGTGTCTATTTAAGATCAAGTTTTCGTAACTTCAGATTCAGGGTTCAAGTTTCTCTAGAAACAGGAAAATCCGTCAAGATGCATGTTATTCAGATGAAACTTTAGCTTGATTTAGGACTGCTTTCTTTTGAGAAATGAGGATGGAGTAAAAGTCTGTAAGACACACACACACACACACACACAATGAATTTCTCTGGTTCCAATACCAAACGGATGGCTGCTTCAGAAGATTGATGATTTTTCAGGCAGTGTTGGGGAATGTGAGGGAATTAGCTTCTAGGGCTCCCAAACAGAATGCACACATCGTTTTCATCGGCCCTCATCTCCATACATTTTCTCTGTCTCATTACACATAGCTCTGTGTTAGCGGATGAAACTCAAAAGTGTTAATCTCGTCGCTCCGCCGGTTCTGTTGAGGTGCAAGAGCTTTAATGAACGGCACATCCATCCGTACTTCACTGAGGAACAGCTATAAGCTCTCCGTGTTTTTGTTTTGCCATTAAATCGGCTTTATTTACACAACCATTCAACTGTGAGAACTAATTACTGTGAGAATTGATGGTGAAGGAAAATTCAATTTAATCACAATCACTTGAATGGATGACGCCTTAATCAGTTTCTTTGAACACATCTGAGTCATTGCTGTTGTGGAAGAACATTTCATGTGGTTGCAGCATTCGGCCATAATTTCATGATTGTTTGAGTGACTGTTCCATTGTGTGTGTAACATGTAACACGTCACTTTAAGAGCCATGTTGAACTACCGTGGGATTGAAATAAAAAAAAACTTCTATACCACACATTTAAGTAGAAACATGAATTTATTGAACATTGGGCATCTGCACATCCTGCAAACAAAAAGAGTGAGATCCTATAACCTCCACAAGGGTTTATAATTGCTTTGAAAACAGTGGGCTTGGGTGGGGGGGGGGGGGCATGTGATCTCACGTTCTATCACACAGCATGCCCTTCGAGATAATGAAAGCAACCTTTCTAAAAACTAGGCAATAACTGCCTGATCATTCAGGTGCCAAACAGCTCTGTCTTCGTGCCCGGCCTCCCTCCAGCCCTCAATCATCTCGCCTCCTCCTCCCAACCTCTCCCTCCCTCCCTCCTCTCTATCGGCCCCTCAGACGATTTGTCATGGATCAGATGAGACAATTTGTCATGGATTAGTGCACTTAAATGTCTGTGTGATAGTGGAAGCAGTCAC